GACCGTCGTTCAGGAGCGTTTGGAAGCCCCAGTGGGTGTTAACGCCCGCCTTGATAATTATCGCTTGCGGGATGAGATCTTAGAAGAGCTTCATGTTATAGAGGCTATACAAATGATGTTCAGAAAGCGTACGAATGACGAGCTGTACAAGCGTTGGATAGCAGAGCCTACTTCTGAACCTTCCGCTCAGGAATAATAGGGTATTGGTCTAGAGCGCTGAGCGGAAGTAGAAGAACAAAAACGGAAGATGGAAAGGCGCCCGCACTCCTCCCCGCCTGCCCTCCACTTCTCCCCGGGCGCTCCCCCACTCCGCCCAGTGGAGGCGCGGGCGCCTTTCCACCTTCCGTTTTTGTTCTTCTACTTCCGCTCAGCGCTCTAGACCAATACCCTATTGTGACCTGTGTGTGTTTATTGTCTCTTGACGAGCTGTGTTGTTGGCATATCCTCTGTTTGTTTTGATGTTTTGAATCATGTCCCTACCATATGCTGCGCGGCAGCGCTATGCGTATTGCTTTGTGAATGTATTAACTTACTTAGAGACAGGAGGTGTCGACGTTCGACAGGTGCACGCCTCTTGTTTAGCATGCCTCCCCCCGTTAACAATGTACGACGATTTAGATTCAGGTATCAGCTATCGTTATTATGACGACATATTCATGGTGTGCAAGAAGGATATTTATCAACCAATTTCAGTGTTGGTAGGGCGCTACACCAATGGTACCACCTAATGCCCTTTCTCATCTTTCTTATTTTTAGCCTTCCTGCGTTTTGTTGCATATTTTGCCTGTTATCCTTAACTTTCGCAGTGATCCTGATCAATCGAGATGGTGGATACTAACACGACACAATACATTTACAGATTCCGAGAGGGTATGGAGTTTAAATTTGATGAAGCCCTCCAATCTTACGTTTATGATTATGGATTTGATGTGCATGCAAACTGCGTTCCTGCCCTCAAGCCTTCAGCTTCAGCTCGCGACCTAGGTCCTATTTGCAGTAGACTTACGTTGCTCTTGTCTCCCTACGAGTCTACTCTTCGATGCGAAGTGTGTAGGGACCCTATTTTTGAAGACGTTCCCCGGCGTCGCCCTTATCCCAGAGTGCCGCGTCGCCAAGCGCAGAGATCTGTCCTACCTAACGCTGTTCAGGACGACTCAGTAGTACATCACAGCAAGTGGTGAGGAAACGGCCTAAGGCGATACGTGTTTGAATTTGGATATGTCCGTGAACCCTGTAGATACCGTGCACTGGATTACTGACGAATTCCCAGTGGCTGATCGTTCAACCTATCCCCGTTGCACGGTGTAGAGCGATACGGTGGGGACACTGGGCCACTCCGGGCCTACGTGGGGAGGTCCCAGTTTTGAATCCATTATTAGTTACCCAATACGCCGTCCGCCGCGCTGCTCGGCAACGTGTACCGGGTGTGGCGTAGCGTAGCGCCGGCGCCCGTCCGTGCGTGCGAGAGAGACAGGTAGTCACTGTGCGAGAGAGAAGCACTGGTACGCGTTGCTGAGCAGCGTGGCGGACGGCGTACTGGGTAACTAATAATGGATCCAAAACTGGGACCTCCCCAGGTACCCCAGTCGTCGCCCCCATGGAAGAAAGTCCGTTCTACGACGGTCGCCCAGAGAATGTCCGATCTACAAGCGTCGTTTGGAGAATGTTCGATCTGCATTAGCCCGGCTGGAAAACATCCGAAGCAACATTTATGACTGTTATGAGATATTGATGCCATTTTGCGTATCTCGCTAAGTTACATAACATGGCACCAATATCTCAAAACAGTCAAAAATGTTGCTCCGGATGTTCTCCAGCCGGGCTAATGCAGATCGAACATTCTCCAAACGACGCTTGTAGATCGGACATTCTCTGGGCGACCGTCGTAGAACGGACTTTCTTGCATGGGCGCGACGCAGTGTCCCCACCGTATCTCTCTACACCATGCCCCGTTGGTACATTACTAATGTTTCGGCTAGGTCCAAGTACAGCGGCGCGCGTATTCTAAAGGCGGTGCATGTAGTGCACGGCTACCTCAGAGATTGTCTCGCCAATAAGTGGGACAGGCCAGAAATAATACGTCTTCAACGGTCCGCGGTAACTAAAATCGCGGACACGCTAGGCACTGTTTCAGCTGTTTCTCCTGATTTGGTTTTAGCCCTTCGCCAAGTTAACGCACCAGCCGGCGCTGATCATGTAAAGATCTCGATGCGGACTTTGTTTTGTCTTGCAGGGTCAGAGAAATTTGACACTGCTACCTTATTTTTTGAAGCAGCTCTAAGTGAGTGGGAGTTGGTGCAACAGGCCAGGCGAGAAAGAGAAGCGGGACTGGCAGCGCGCCTTGCAAGGCAATTGCTCGTTTCCTTAAGTTACAGCACGAAGAAAACGGCGAAATGGCGTCGAGCGCCTGTTTGAACGCCGTTGAGAATTTCACAGGGGAGAATCAGGAATACAGCGTGGATGAGTTTGTGTCAGTGATGGAAACATGTTTGTCGTGCATGCCGCCTTCTCCTAATGCAGAAGGACAACCTGTGGAACTCACAGACGCAAATAAATGCAATCTGCTGAGACTCTAAGTAAGAGGACCACATAGTTGTGACAGCAGAATTTTGCTTCCCATAGCAAATTCTTTGCTCCTGCAACAAAAATTGTTTATGTCTATGTTCACCAAATCGTTAGTTGTGGGAACAAATTCTTTTTTTCCGTGAATGAATTCTAGCGAAGGAACATCCCGAACTTCAGACGGGGATGAGAGTCCCCTTGCACTCGATCAGGCCGGGGGTACTCATGCTGACCAGCACACAGGAGAAGGAGAATGAAGGTTCTGGCCCAGAAGCTCCGAATGCTTCCAGTTCTGATAAAGACCTACGCTTATCAATTCAATGATCATCTGGTAGTGATAACGGGAGTCGCTAGACGTGAAGGAGCTGGAGGATCGACATATCGCCTGGCATTAGGAGTCCTCTTCGAGGGCCTCTGCGACCACCTGGAGACAACAGGCCTCTTTAATACGGATTCACTTGGCCTGATACGGACCAATGTCGGCATCTAGATTTCTGCGGACGAGGAAAGCTGCTCATTGAGTCACTCTGCCATCATATTCGTCTGAGTGAAAGTCATCCTGGAGGAGCTGCTGCGCTGCCGTCAGAACGCGAACGTGCAGAATTTCTTTGAGTTCATCCTGCGTTCGCTGGCGAATACGCTCAAATGTAACATCAACGTATTTTTATTGCATAGAGAAATTCACTTCCACAGACATAAATGAACTGGTCTTAGTTTGACTTTGCAAAAACCACTGGACTAAAGAAGGTTTGAACCAACCATTCTGCCAGAGGGAAGAAAAAGACAATCATTGTTGAAGCCATACTAAAACTCACGGTGTCTGTAAACTTTCCGAAGTGGATAGCAAATTTATGAGCTTCATTACCATCTTCCTGACGCCACACAGGTGTCCGAATGTGGGCTCTAAACAACGTGAACTTTACGACAGATGAGCCGGAATCCCGGTCGACGCATCCATGCAACAAAGGTGAATCAGAAAGCAGTCGCTGAACAACGACGGATCAGAAAACGGTCGCTGAACAACGACGGATCTGCTTTTTGCTGATCTCTGCACTTGACTTGACTTTGGAGGCCTCTCACTCTCCTTAGAGATATCGCATCGTATTAGGTGTTGTCTCTTTTTATCCCCGAGATGTGTCAAGCCACAGTTAT